ATCTCTCCAGCCCAAAGATATATTTATTTTATGTTTATGAGTACACTGTAGCTATCTTCAGACACACACCAGAAGAGGGCATTTGATTCCATTACAGATGGCTGTGAGCTACCATGTGGTTGCTGGGATTTGAACTCAGGACCTCTGGAAGAGCAGTCAGTGCTCTTAACCACTGAGCCATCTCTCCAGCCCTCAAACTTCCTTTCTATGTGCCCAGATAAACTATATTCTATACTAGACCCATTGTATGGCTGGTAACTGAGGAGGGGGCAGGATACCTCAGCATGGGCCTGGTGAGATAGCCCCTCCCACCGCACCGTATTGTTCTCTATAAAACATATCCTTGGTTTTACAGAACACATCACTGCCCACATTTGGTACCAACCAGACCTAGATCCTGTTTGTCCCAGACTCTGCTTCCCTAGTTGCACCTGGTAATCAGTAAACCCCTGAAGGAGAGGTGGACTGCAGACCCCAGCCGTTCCAGACTTTGCCCTTTTCTTTCTGAGAGGGTGCACCCAGGGCGACCCTGAGAGGAGGGGCAGAACCTGGTGTCACAGCATGAACATATGCATGCATACGTACATACATAGCATGATCCAAGCTGGAATTGGCAAGCTGAGGCAGGGAAGTTATCTTGTCTTGGCCTTGAAGTCTGGAAAGCAGAGTGAGAAAAAAAGACTCTATCTCAAAAGAACAACAGAAAATGCAGGGCTAGAGAACCATGACTCAAGTTGAAAGTGTGGACTTTCTGGGTCTTTAGTCCCAATATCTGAGTGGCAGAGGCAGGCACTTCTGAGTTTAGGGTTATCCTGGTCTACATTGCCAGGGAACTTACAGCTATTACTGGCCAGGTTGAAGATTTGACTATTGACTCCCTCTCCTGATTTTTCTGAATATTAGATAAACAATTTGCCTTTCGTTTGGTGGTGTAGAATTTCTTTTCTTCTTTTCCTTTCTTTCTTTCTTTTCTTTTCTTTTCTTTTCTTTTCTTTTCTTTTCCTTTGTTTTTCGAGACAGGGTTTCTCTGTGTAGCCCTGGCTGTCCTGGAACTCACTCTGTAGACCAGGCTGGTCTGGAACTCAGACATCCACCTGCCTCTGCCTCCCAAGTGTTGGGATTAAAGGTGTCTGCTACCACTGCCCGGCAATGGTGTAGAATTACAACACGAGTAATTCTGTCTTGTTGGCGGTTACTACAGAGTTTAATGTAATCTGGCAGAGCTTAATGCTTATCTGGCAGGCACCAGGATACAACCGAAAATTGTTAACTCATTGAATGTTTCCTTGGGCCAAGTGTTATGCTTTCTATGTGGCCAAGCTGACTTCAAACCCATGATTTTCATGACTCAGTTCCCTCAGTGTTGGATCTACAGGTGTGGGCCACCGAGCCTGGCTATGTGTTCTTCTTCAGGTATTAGGGTTTTTGTTGTTGCCGTCTCACTATAAAGCTCTGGCCTGCTGGGCGTTTGCTATGTAGACCCAGGAATAAAGGTGCCATTGAGACCTCTGTTGCCTCCCTAAAGTGATCTTCTCTGAAAGAATTCAGGGGACATGTAAGAGTGTAGTATAGCAGAAGGCCAAACGCTCAAGGGCTGAGAGGAACATGACCAAAGGGACCACTGTATATCTATGATCTACGCAGGCTTTATGCTAATTCTGAAATTTCTTGCCAGTTGTAGTGGCAGAGGCTGTTAGGATTGCTAAAGAATTGGAGACTAGAAGATGTGAGTTCAAGGTCACCTTGGGCTGGGTGGAGGAAATATAGTATAGCGGTAAAAACCGCTTGCCGCTCAAGCCTGAATTTCATCCTCAGGACTCAGGAGGAAAGCCAGCTGGATGCAGTGGTACTTGTCTGTAATCCTAGCACTTCTAAGATACAATGGGAAGCAGATTGTGGAGGTCCAACTAAAAGGCTCAAGCCGTTAGAATCAGCTTTTTCTTCTTTTTGAGACCCAGGCTGCCCTTGACCGCCCCAAGAGGACCTAAACTTTTCATCCTCTTGCCTCTCTTCTAAGTGTTGGGACTGTGGGTGTTTACCAGCTTGCATACTCGTTCTGCTCGGTAAGCAAAGATTCTACCACATGCCCCAGCCTTCAGTCGGTTCTTTTCGTCTTTTTCCTTTTTCTTTCTTCTCCTCTGTCTCCCCCTCCTACTTTCCTTGAGAAAAGGTTTTTTTGTGTAGAAGATTTGACAGTCTGGGAACTAGGAATGTAGACTAGGCTGGCTTCAAACACACAGAGAGCCCTCTTGTCTCCCCACTCCTGAGTGATGGGATTAAAGGTATGTACCACTATGCAGTAATCTTTAAACTTAATTAAAAGATTTATTTATGTGTATGCATTTGCCCCATTTAGGTGCCTGGAAAGACTGTTATTCAGTTCACAATGTAGCTGATCAGAGACATGACTCTGGTCCCCTTCTTCTGACCAGGAATTAAAGACTTAGTCCTTTGATTTTACAGGCTGTTGACTAGAGGCCCAACTCTCAGTTGGCTAATATTTAACTGGCTTCCTAATTGAATGGGATCTGCCCACTTCCAGATCACATTAGATCAACCTCACAATGGTTCTGGAAAATCTTATCCTCAGGAGAATTTTTGATCTAGAGGTCAAGCAGGCACAGTGCCTCCCTCAGAACAACCATTATAAATTCCTCTATGAGCCAGGCGGTGGTGGCACACGCCTTTAATCCCAGCACTTGGGAGGCAGAGGCAGGCAGATTTCAGAGTTCGAGGCCAGCCTGGTCTACAGAGTGAGTTCCAGGACAGCCAGGGCTACAAAGAGAAACCCTGTCTCAAAAAAACAAAATAAATGAATAAATAAATAAATAAATAAATAAATAAATTCCTCTGGGGCCTTCTCAGCACAAAGCTGCCAGGTTCCAGCATTTTTTTTTCTTTTTTTCTTTTCTTTTTTTTGCCGCCCACACATCTGGGAGCCTGACTTGATTGGCTCTCAGGGCGCCTGTTGGGAAAAGGCGCGTTACCATGGAAACGCGCACGCCACGCAGGCGCGCCTCGCGCAAGGTGGCCATCCAAGCGGCCATTTTAGGAGCGGGAAAGAGGGGTTGAACAGGCGCTGCCAAGCAACGGTTGACCGGTTTTAGCCTAGTGACTGGTACAACGGGGCGGGGAGAAGAGGGCGGTGCCATCCTAGGGGATGAGGGGGGCGGGAGGGAGTTGAGAAGGGGAGGGGAGGGGTGGGAAGGCAAGGCCAGGCTGGGAAAGTAGGACCGGGCAAAGAAAGGGCGGGGTGAAGGCCAGGGCGCGGTTAAGATCTGAAGCCGGCGGGATGAGAGTGGGTGTGGCTAGAAGGGGCGGGGCGTAGAGCAGGGTGCGGTTCAGGGAATGGACGGGAGAGATGAGAGGAGGTGGAGGGAAAAGTTGCCGGGGGAGACAGTGAGGATCGCGAAGTCAGCGTGGGTGTGGAACGACGGGAGGTCTTGCAGCCACAGGACAGTCTTTACCCAGGAGAGACCCAGAGATCGCGAGCCAAGTCCAGGCAGAGACATATGCTGGGGCAAGGAGAGGATTATTTACGAGAGGGGGTTCGGCGGCGAAGAGCGAGTCAAATGGGAGGACAGGTCTGGTAGAGAGAGACAGGACTGGAGTGAGGAGCGACTACCCTGGGAAGACACAACCGGAGGCGAGGAGAGACCCCGAGGAGTAGAGAGACCCCACGACCAGGAAAGGTTCCCCAAGGAGAAGGCTGGCGCCGAGAGGCAGGCTGGTGCTGAGGAGAAAGCAGGGCGGCAGAAGGGCTTTAAAGAGAAGGAGTGCGACGAGCAGGGGGGTCGAGTTGCCCAGGACCCAGGGAGAGGAACTAGCCAGGATCAGGGCCTTGGCCAGGAAAGGAGGAGGAGCGAGGATCCAATCTACAGCAAAACTTGGCGCTTGAGCCCGGGCCAAGGGCGTGGCCCAGAGAGTAGACAGAGCGAGGATCCGAACTACTACAACACCACTCGGGGCCCGAGGCAGGATCAGGGGCGTGGCCCAGAGAGAAGAC